GCGCGGTGGCTCACCTGAACGGTCATAACGGCCACAGTGGTCTCAACAACGGCCAACACGAGGACGGCAAGAGAACATCTATCAAAGACCTCACCTCAAAGTTTGACGAAGCCAACGTCGGGCCTGTACCCCAGGTGATCAACCTCGCTGGCAAACCTTTCTCGAACGGAAGCAAACTATCCGCGAGTAGTCTAAGCAAAGACGGTGAGGGATTCCGTTGATATTTGATACCGCACGGGGCAACGAAGTCCAACATTGTGCGAAATCATAAAGCCTTCTCGTATGAATCAATATCTCCCTCTACTGAACGGACGAAATTCCCGTAATAACTTTTCCGTTTCCTACTCAATGTAGACGTAGATGCCAAGACAAACGAAGGCCCATCTGCACGAAGCGAGATCTCGCAGAAGTTGGAGGCGGAAATCTTGGAGCTGCGTGCTGAAGTCAAGAGGCTACGTGAACACAGTGTGTCCAAGGAGGAGTTCAACAATCTAGTGTCACAGGTGACCTCATAGATTTCGAACCGAGTCACACGGGAGCGAAGCTATCATTCCTATTCACCAAGCGAAATCTCATGCTAAATGATCCTGATTCCATCGGGAGATTCCACATGTAGTCTGACTCTACTTTTTTTCTCACCTTCGAACAGATGAAGACACTGCAGGAGACGATGGAGTCGAACAGGGCGCACTATTCGAAGATGGTGCGCGATCTCATGGCCGAGGTGGACGAGGAGAAGAAGCAGAGGATGACTCTACAAGTGGAAATCGATCGGCTTAAGAAAATTACTGTAACTGTCTAATTCATAATGAGCAAACAAACATGCAACCAAACAAACAGACATAGACAATAAGGACTGAGCGTATGATGAGTGATGTTGGATCGAACGACCGAGCTCGGGCTCTGAAGCGCGCAGCGGCGACCGAAGTGCCGCTGCTTGCCGCGAAAAATGGGCTCACGAGAAAAAAGAGTTGATATCCACTTTTGTCCTCTCTTCCGC